ATGAAATCTTGCCATTTGCAATGACGTGGATGGAACTAGAGTGTATTATGCTAAGCAAAATAAGTCAATCAGAAAAAGACAATTATCATATGATCTCACTGATATGTGGAATTTAAGAAACAGAACAGAGGATCATGGGGAAGAGAGGAAAAAATTAAAACAAGATGAAACCAGAGAGGGAGACAAACCACAAGAGACTCTTGTGGAAAGGAGGAAACAAACTGAGGGTTGCTGGAGGGGAGGGGGGATGGAGGGATGGGGTAATTGGGTGATGGACATTAAGGAGGGTATGTGACGTAATGAGCACTGGGTATTATATGAGACTGATGAATCACAGGCCTGCACCTCTGAAACCAATAATACATTATATGTTAATTAAAATGAATTTAAATTCTAAAAAAAAAAAAGGAAAAAAGAAATTTGGGGGGCACCTGGTTGTCTCAGTAGGTTAAGTGTCTGCCTTCAGCTCAGGTCATCATCCCAGGATCCTGGGATCAAGTCCCAAGTTGGGCTCCCTGCTCAGTGGGTCATCTGCTTCTCCCTCTGCCCCTCCCCATCCCCCGCTTGTGCTCTTTCTCTCTCTCAAAATTGAATAAATAAAATCTTTTTTTAAAAAATTTAAAAAAAGATTATATTGGGGCGCCTGGGTGGCTCAGTTGGTTAAGCGACTGCCTTCAGCTCACGTCATGATCCTGGAGTCCTGGGATTGAGTCCCGCATCACGCTCCCTGCTTGGTGGGGAGTCTGCTTCTCTCTCTGACCCTCCCCCCCTCTCATGCTTTCTCTCTCATTCTCTCTCTCCCAAATAAATAAATAAAATCTTAAAATAAATAAATAAATAAATAATTTTAAAAAAGAAATTTTCAAATGAATTTTGTATTATAGTTGGGTTGATCTTGGGATTCTGAGACAATATGGATTTTCATTATCTTTTCTCTAATATTTCCTACATGAGAGAAATTGGCATCAATATAAGAGACTCTGCAATTTGTTTAGCACCAATAATATTTATTTTATAAATATTGGCTGTGTTTTTCTTCAAAACACTTCTGAATCCCTTCGATGCTTTTGGAATCATTATGGACATTGAATTTTGCTTCTTATAACTCTTTGCTAATGATATTAATTTTATGTAAAATGCTATGCCAAATTAGTCCTGAGCAAATAAATTTTAAAGTGGGTTTTTAATTTTTAATTTTCAAAAACCTTATTTTAATTCCAGTGTAGTTAACATACAGTGTTATCTTACTTCCAGGTGTACAATATAGTGATTCAACACTTCCATACATTACTCAGTGCTCATCATGATAAATGTGCTCTTAATCCCCTGCACCTGTTTCATTCCCCACCCCCGCCCTCCCCCCTCCCCACCCCGGTCTGGTAACCATTAGATTGTTCTCTATATTTAAGAGTCTGGGTTTTGTTTTTTTGTGCTTTTTGGGGGGAGGGGGGTTGTCTCTCTTTTATTCCCCTCCTTTATTCATTGTTCTGTTTTTTAAATTCCACATATGAATGAAATCATATGTATTTGTCTTTCTCTGACATATT